ATTTCAGTTTTATAATGTATTCATGTAAAAAAAGATTAAGGTTATGTTATGAGGACACAAATTTCGGCAAAATTTGACATGTTTTAATTTTAGGCCAAGTTTAGCTAACCTAAAAAAGTGCACTTATTTCATCTTTTTATCTTTTTTGTGTCACATCAATCAACATCTCCTCTCTACTTTTTCTACACATAATACAAAAAAGTCGAAAAGTGCACTTATTTAGTCTTCCCAAACTTGGCCTTACTGTTTCTCAATTTTTCTGGTCTAATACGCAAAGTATTTGAAGAAACTAGTCTTACATTTATTCTAACAATTACATTACACAAGAAATGCCACATCTGAATACTTAGAGTATCTTGAACATATATGATACTTTGATTCTAAAATTAAAGACAAATAAACTTTAATTGGGATATTTTTGGGAAGTATTGGATAAGCATTTGTGAGTATCCAAAGAGTATTGGTATCCAATACAATTTTGATATGGAAGTATCCATGCTTCATAGGCTATGATAACAGGGCTGCTGAAAATGTTAAGGTTGATTTTTATTTTTTTGCTAGTATTTTTAAAAACAAAATGGTTTGTCACCAGATTTTTGTCGCTGTTTTATGTAATTGCCTAGTTGGATGCTTGTGATTAGTTCCATGTTTGGAATAAATTATATTATGAAGAAAGTTATATATATCTTTCCATGTTTGCAATGATCAAAGTTGGTGACCTTTAGCTGTATTTAGAACTTAAGTTATATATCTTTTAATAGGAATGGGGGAAGGGGAGTCAAACCCTTTACCAACTAGTTAGGCAGGCTAGGTGTGAGTGTTAGAAATGTTTTGTCAATGTATTTTTGTTTCTCTGTCGTTTTCTAAATTTGGAATCTTTTTTTTTTCTTCTTTTTCTCAGGTTTCAAAATTGGGTTATGGGTGTATGGGGCTTAGTGGAGCCTACGGCTGTGTTTGGAGAAGCTCTCCAAACACATTTCCACCCCCACTTTTGAGTGTGGTATTTGTTTTGTGTTTTCAAATTATAATTCTACACCTACTTTTGAAAACTCTTTTCCACTTTTGAAACTCTTTTCCAAGCGGGAAAATTTGGCTAACTCGGACATCCGGCCGGTTGACTGGAATAGTGTTCGGTTTTTTTTTCACACCTATTTTATTTATATTTTAAATAAAAAATATTTCCAAAATTTTTTTTTATGAGCTTTAAATAGGATTTGGGTTATGTGTTTGGCTATGAGTTGTAAGTTTTTAAATTAAATATCATATGTCACATCATTCATTTCAAACTCAATTCAAAACTCTTTTCAATTAAATATCATATGTCACATCATTCATTTCAAACTCAATTCAAAACTCTTTTCAAAACTCATAACCAAACAAATTTTTCACACTCAAATCATAATTCCAAAAGTCACAAACTCAAAATACAACTCTATTCTCAAATCATATTTAGAAAATTCTACCAAACGCTACCTACAATTCTCCTGCCTTTGATGAGGATGGCATTGCAATAATCAAGTATGCATTCAGTAAAGGAATTACTTTCTTTGATACGTCAGATATTTATGGTGTTGACCACTCTAATGAAATATTAGTGGGAAAGGTAATGCTTTCATTACCATGGTACCTAAGCATTTGGGCTTGCCATGGGAATTTGGTTATAGCATTTATTACATTTAATGTACTCTGTTTATAGAGAAATATAAGAATTGAACTTAGTAAGTCTTAAGTAATTGAAAGATTTTGTTGAAACTATTTTTTGGGAGAATCCTTGAAAAGAAAAACATGAGTTCTTGTTGTTGGTGGTGTTGTCTTGTTGGGTGTTGGGGAGGGTTGAGCCGGATTTATTATCCTTATTGATTTTTGTTGATTCTTTAGTTGGCTGAGATGTATTTTTCTTCGTGTGGATTGTTTTTGTTAGTATCGTCTTGATGCTCTTTTTCTAATAAAGTTACTCTTATTTATAAAATGAAATAAAAAAAGAAAAGGAAAACATGAGTTCTTCTCCACTCTACATTGGGATAAAGGTCCATTAGGATTATGCTCATTTAAAAACTTGTTGAAAAGATGTCATTTATCCCAGATCAATTTTTCTTAGGGAAATGGCGTCTTAGTTGAAACAACTCAAAAAAAGTGTATTTTTATGGAGGTGCAAGTGGGAGTTGTGTTCTATGCCACAACTTTCACTGATACCAGACTAAGACCAACTTGTATCTTCATGAAAGTTGTAATTATTTTGAGTTGGTCCTACTAAAACACAATTTTCCATTTTTCCAATCACACTTTTTATTTATTTTTTATTTTTCATTTTTTTGAACGAGGAGGTAGGTCCATAGGGGAGGAAGTAGCCAGTAATAAGGAAAATCAACATTATAAGTTCTATTACAGGGTTAGGAATTTTGAAGTAGAGATTGCACTTAAGAAGATGAAATCGAATAAGGCTTTAGGACCCGATGATATCCCTATTGAAGCTTGGAAGAAATGTTTGGATAAGAAGGGAGTTGCTTGGTTGACTAGTTTATTTAGTAAGATTTTGTTGACTAGGAAAGTGCCAGAGGAGTAGAGGAAGAGTATTTTAGTGCCAATCTATAAGAGTGGAGGAGATGTTCAAAATTGTAACAACTATAGAGGAATCAAGTTAATGTATCATATAATAAAAGTGTGGGAGAGAATGATAGAATGTCAATTACGAGATATAATAGAGGTGCTAGGGAATCAATTTGGGTTTATGTTTGATAGGTCAACAATGGAAGCAATCTATCTTTTAAGGAGAGTAATAGAAAAGTATTGAGGAAAAAAAAGAGACATTCATATGGTTTTTATCGATCTTGAGAAAGTATATAATAGAGTGCATTAGGATATAAAGGTTACATTGATGTGATTAAGGGCCTGTATGACGGTGTGGTGATCACTATTAGATCGCCTGTTGGAGAGACAAATGAATTTTTAATTACTGTAGGGTTACACTAAGGATCAACCTTAAGTCCTTATCTTTCTACTTTAGTTATGGATGAGTTGATGGAAAATATTTAGGATGATGTGCCGTGGTGTATTTTTTTGCAGAGGATATCATGTTAATGGATGAGAATAGAGAAGGAGTTAACACTAAGTTAGAGACTTGGAGAGAAGCACTTGAATTTAAAGGTTTTAGGATAAGCAGAACTAAGATAGACTGCATGGAGTGTAATTTTAGTAACAGTAACAATAGAAGTAGAGAAGAAGTGAAGATTGAGAACTAAGAACTACCTAAGAGTGAACATTTTCATTATTTAGGATCGATTATCACAATGGCTGGGGAGATTGGAGCGGATGTGGTCTATAGAATTAAAGCAGGATGGTTTAAGTGGAGGAGTGCATCTGGGGTATTGTGCGATAAATGAATACCCACTAGACTAAGAGGAAAGTTCTATAGAACAGCTATTAGACCCGCGATATTGTATGGGATAGGATGTTGGGCAACCAAGAAACGACATGTAGATAAGATGAGTGTTGATGAGATGCGGATGCTAAGGTGGATGTATGGCAAGACTAGGAAAGACGGAATTAGGAATGAGCATATTCGAGAATGGGTAGGAGTAGCGCCGATAAAAGATAAGTTGAGAGAGAATAGATTGAGATGATTTGATCATATACAACAGAGACTAACAGAGGCAGTAGTGAAGAGATGCGATGAAGTGACGGTAGATAGAAGTGTTAGAGGACAGGTTAAACCTAGATTGACGTGGATAGCAAAGTAAATAGAGATATGAATCTCCTTAATTTGACTAACGAAATGGCCTTTGATAGAGTCGAGTAGAGAAGAAAGATTCATGTAGCTGACTGCATTTGATGGGACTTAAGACTTGGCTTGGTTTGGTTTACTTTCTCTATCTTTTTTTATTATGTTTTTTTACTATTTTTTATGTTGCACAAAGCGTTTTTTGGACCATATCCAACAACCTATGTGTAATACCCCTGTTCCGTAATATGTTAATTGGTCCTTAACATGATGTGATTATGTATTTTGATATGATTTGTGTTCCACTATGTGAAAATATGTGATTTGAAGTTCCATCTGTTCACCGTAGGAATATCTGTTTGAATAATCAGCTTTGGAAATTTAATTGAGGGCCTTATCGGCCACAGAACCCGAAATCGATTACGCCATTGTGGTTGGCATAATTTTTAGAGCCTACGGTGAAATTTAATTGAAAATTGATTCTGGTCAATTTAAACTGATTGAAATGATAAATTAAGTACCCCATTATTTTATATTATTATATTGACTTAGTGGGACTTAATATATTTGAGCACTACACCTTATTTCTCTCCCTTGGCTTATTTTGGCTGATTCTTGAACTTATTTTTTCCGATCAATCTGAAATAATCAAAAGAGAACTCTGACTCTTATGGTTCTAATTCTTAGATTGCTACCCTGCCTACCTATTATTGAGGGAGTCTGTAGTCCCCCCCACGGGCATATCTAATTCAGAAAAGACATGAGATGGGAAAGCGTAAGGTGGAAAAAGCAGAGTAGACCAGACGCTTTCTGCCATGATATGCCGAGGTCGGTGAGCTAGTGAGGTAACACTAGACCGGTGCGGATTACTGTGGGAGGAAGAGTTTTAGTTCAAGCTGCCTGAGCTAACTGCTTTTCACTTGAATTCAACTTCACTACTCTTAGAGTGAGAAAAAGGAGTTGACATCAAAACTCTATCATGCATTATAGGTTTTTTCTTTAGCCTTGACACAAGTTGAATGAGAGAGAAAGTGATGAAAGCAAGCCACCGTTTTGGGGTATAAATCGAGGGATGCTTAACGTCACTTCGCCTATTGGCTTTACCTGCACTTTCGTCTCTCTGAGCGTGGTCAGCACTGGGTGTTTCTGGGCAGCAAGGCTTACACCCATTCGCATTAGTTCATCCAAAGTTCCCAGATCTATAATTCATGTAATTCATAATTTGACTTCATAACTTGGGCGGTTACTCATTTACTTCCAATTTTTAATGAAAAAAGTTTAGGATTACGATAAAGAATTGCTATCTGCTATATTTATTTGATTGTATCTGGTAGGTATGTAGGAAAAAGAGTTATCTCTTAGCTACTGTCCGTCTCTCTGAGTTTCTACTACTAAGTAGCACTTCTGCTATTCAATCATAGAATCGATTCCGATCAAGATGAAAAAACCTTGCAAGGTAACGAAGTTCAAATTTCTCTTACGCAATTAGTAAGACACGAGGGAACAACCTTAGAGTGATTCAGTCGATACAGAGGCTTGACTACTTCGATGGAAAGTTCTGAAAGAACAGATTAGATGTGATTACCAATCGGCTTACTACTGGTTGGCTTGACTTTGAGGTGAGGTACTTATACTTCTTTTACATTTTTTGCTGGGTTTCCATTTCTTCCTCCTTCTTTGAATTATAGAGATTGTATACGCCTGTATAAAAAAAAAAAGGTCGGGATAGATTCAGTGAAGCATTAGTATGCTCACGAACAGGCATAGCAATAAGCTCTGTCTTTGGTCCTTCCACGCTGCTATCAACGAGTTATGAATTGCGAAATCAGCATCGATTGGAGCTACTGAATAAACTGCTAAATCGATTGCTTCTACTGAATCACCTGCAATGGATTGTGAATCCACCATGTGCGGGTTCAATTCCCATCGTTTTCCCATAACTAATTCGCTACAATCGGGGGTACCCAGGTTTTGATTTCCCTACTTCATAATAGATAGGCAGATGCGAAGCAAAGGAAGAGGAAAAGGGCAGGCATAAGCAGGAGATGCCACCATTGATTGCCTATATTAGATAGGAGATAGGATAGCGGACCCTTTCTCTTTCAAAAATAAATAACAAGAATCTTGGTCGAAAAATGGGACGCTACTCCGATAGCTTCCTACTCATAGCTAGGAGAGGAATGAAAACTACAAGGTAATGAGCTCAGAGGAAAGAGGCACGGGTTTGAGTCTTCTATTGTTGAAAGAATGAAAGAATAGGGAGCTAACCTTTGAGAAGAATCAAAAATAAAAATGGAAAGTGTTCAATTGGAACATGAAAACGTGACTAAATGGGTCCTATCGGGACGGAGTGGAAGAAAGGAGGAGATTCTTGAACGAGGAAAAGGATCCAATGACTTAAAAAGAATTGAACAAGGAGCCGTATGAGGTGAAAATCTCATGTACAGTTCTGTAGAATGGCAGTAAGGGTGACTTAGGCTGGTGGGAAAGGTGGTAGAGAATATAATTCAAGACAGCCCTGGTGCTTTGAAATATAAATCAAATATCAAGTCATCAAGGGAAATGGAAAGAGAGGGATTCGAACCCTCGATACAAATAACTCATACAATGGATTAGCAATCTGTCGCTTTAGTCCACTCAGCCACCTCTCCCAATAAAAAAAAAAAAGATAATTACTATGTTACATTACACGTAAAGTAAGGATTAAAAAAAGTCCTTTCTCTCTATTTATGTTTATTATATAGGTATGGTACAATTTTTTATCAGCAATTCCATTTAGATAAAAGAAGGGCTAGAAAGATCCAATATAAATATAAAGAAAAATCAAAATAAAGAATTCTTTTCTTTGATTTTGTTCGAAAAGGCCTTTTTTTATCCCATGGCCATGCTAGGTCAGTATCTAGCCGGGCCTTTTTTTGTTCCAACGAATGATAGTATCTGATTGAAAAAAAATACTTGCTATTAAAGCAACAAGAAAGTGTCTTTTCTTATTATTCCTTTCTTCCTTTTTTATTTGCTTTTTTTTTAACTACTCTACTGGAATAAAAAAAAATAAACTATGAATTCTTACACAACACATTTTTTTGTTATGATTTCGGTGTTTTTATCGAGCTGTGTCTATCAAATTTCCTCCAGTAAAAGAAAAGGGAAAACTTATTTTTTAGCTATTTAAATGAATCCTCCAGTATGGCATGGGTTACTTCAGCGCCGTATTAGTTGCCACTCATTTCTAATTAGTTGGAATCTTTTCCTTAATCTAAGTGACATTGGAAATATTTATTGATTGGTGCTGAATTTTCTTTTTGAATAGCAGATAGGAGAACTTAAGAAATTGGTGGAAGAGGGTAAAATAAAATACATTGGTTTATCAGAAGCAAGCCCAAACACAATAAGGAGGGCACATGCTGTTCATCCTATCACTGCTCTACAAATGGAGTATTCCCTTTGGACTCGAGACATTGAGGAAGAAATAATCCCGCTTTGCAGGTGCTTCATATTGCTTCCAAAATTCTGCAAGAATCTTCATCTTGAGGTTTTTTTTTTTTTCTCAAGTACAAAAGAGGTTCATCAAGAGCACATCAATAAGAAAGGCCAAGAATCTTCGTCTTGAGTTTACTTACATTTTATTCAAAAATTTGGAGGCTCCTGTTCAAATGTTGCTCTTTGTTAAAATAAAAAATTCATCCACAAAAAGATGTTTGAAAGGGCGGCTTTACTTAATAGTAAGGCTTTCCGTTAGCACTCTTGGCGGCCCAAGTTCGAGTTACGGAAACCATCTCTCCAGAAGTAGGGGTAAGGCTGTGGACATCTTGCCCTCCTAAGACCTCGCTTTAGCCTCATGTACTGGGTTACCATTTTTTATTCACAAAAATATGTTTATCAGGAGAAGACACCCTACTGTCTGTTTTATCATCATATTTTTTTCTAAACCATGTTTTGGTTATCAGGGAACTTAGAATTGCGATAGTTCCATATTCCCCTACTGCTCATGGGTTTTTTGCTGGCAAGGCAGTTGTGGAGAGTGTCCCCACAGATAGCTTCTTGGTGATGAACTGGATCTATATCTTTTATTTTACTTCAATTTAATTAATGTTAGATAAAAATCATCTCTGTGAACTAATGCTCGTGTTTTGGCCGAAAATTTATTTTAGAAAATGTGTTCCACATTATCTGGCGTTTGGTACAATGGAAAATCAAAGGCAACTGAAAACGTTTTATGTGGCCAATAGAGAACAAGTTTACTTAGGCGGAAAACATTTTCCACTTTTGAAAGGTGGAAAACGTTTTCCAAAATAAGGTCTTACCAACGCTGTCACACTAGCATCACCAACACCCTACCACAACCACCAACAGCATCACTAATACAATAAACAACTAGTACATTAGTTTCAAGGTCTCAAACAAAGATAGGAAAACATCTACAAAAAAAATTATTGGAAAATGTTATCCATAGGAAAATAATCTTTGCTGAAACAGAGTGTTAATTCATTCAGACATTTCCTCTTTTGGTTAGTCAAACAACTCGATGAATGGATGACTGACTTTTTCTTTCTATCAGCTAGCACTTCCTAGGTTTACAGGGCATAATTTAGATCACAACAAGATCTTTTATCTTCGAATAGAAGAGTTGTCTAAGAAGCATAGCTGCACCCCTGTTCAACTCGCACTTGCATGGGTTCTTCATCAAGGGGATGATACGGTGCCTATTCCCAGTGAGTGACTAATCAAAATTTTGATTTCTTGGTAGTGAATAATACGTGAAAAGTTATGGAAAAAGTGCCGGAAGGTGAAATGAATCCTTGAACAAACCTCGAAAACTTTTAATTCCCTGGTAACTAGTTCGATAAGTAGGAGGTTGTGGTCTTTCTTACAATCCAACCTAAACCCCTTGCCAAAGTATATTTTTTGGCTTTTGAATTAAATTAAATGTAACTTCTATTGAATGATTAGTTTTTATTAGTTTTTCTGAAAATTCTTTAGTTTTTTAATCATATTTGGATGTTTACTGAATGCTTTAGTAATATTTTGTTATTGTTTCAAGTGGATGTTTATGCAATCAAATCAGCTGTTAATCAATTTAAGAAAGAGATCCTTGTTGATTTTTGGTGTTTATTTTCACCAAACTAGTGTTCAGTATTTTTTAAAAAACAAGTTTTGAAAACAAACCAAAACTTCCAAATGTGCTCCTTAATGTTGTATTTGAATGGTCAAGTTGTATTTAACCTCGCATTGTACATTTGCAGGAACAACTAAGATTAAAAACCTTGATGAGAATATTGGTGCCTTGAGAGTGAAGCTCACAGAAGACGCTTTAAGAGATATTTCATGCAGTGCCCATCCTCGAGATTGCGGGGCCTAGAATATATAAAAGTTTTACTTGTGTCTCGTATATTTTTGCGGACACACCACTGCCAAAGAATTCCAAGTGAGTGGCTTTATATTTTTTTTGTGATGGAATTAATGTTAATAGTGTTTTTGTCAATTTTGTATTTCCTCTTGTAGCTTGTTGTGGCTTTGGTGTGTTGTCTTAACAACATTGTGGCCACTGCAGCTGAAACCCGCGCATGTTTGGATGTGTTCCGATGGTGTCAAGTTCGGGATATTCGAGTTCTTTCACAGATTGCTTATGGTTGGTCGAACTGCTTCGTGGTACATCATCATGCGATTGGGCCTCACAACCGCTAATTTTGGAGATTTGATCTTTACTTAATGGTTTTGATTATGTAAATATATGTAAGGTAAGTCGGCAGGTAGTCTAGCAGGCTCATGTTTTTGCTAAAACTGTCCTTCATGGCAGTTAACAAGTAATATTTGGTTATGTCTATTATGAAAGTTGGTTTGGCTTAAGATTGTGATGTTAGTGTATCTTTTGGCTAAGCATTTTCATAATATAAGCTGAATGAGATATGAATACCAAGTTTAATGCCCAAAATGTAGCCCCATAATTAAGAAAAATAGGGAAAACTCTTTCAAATTTTTTTTGTCGCATGATATGATACTAGTAGGTTAATATAGTTAGATTACTATAGTAGGTTTTACGCCAATTAGTTTCAAGGTCTCAAACAAAGATAGGAAAGCATCTTCTACAAAAAAATTTATTGGAAAATGTTTTCCATAGGAAAATAATCTTTGCTGAAACAGAGTGTTAATTCATTCAGACATTTCCTCTTTTGGTTAGTCAAACAACTAGATGAATGGATGACTGACTTTTTCTTTCTATCAGCTAGCACTTCCTAGGTTTACAGGGCATAATTTAGATCACAACAAGATCTTTTATCTTCGAATAGAAGAGTTGTCTAAGAAGCATAGCTGCACCCCTGTTCAACTCACACTTGCATGGGTTTTTCATCAAGGGGATGATAGGGTGCCTATTCCCAGTGAGTAACTAATCAAAATTTTGTTTTCTTGGTAGTGAATAATACGTGAAAAGTTATGGAAAAAGTGCCGGAAGGTGAAATGAATCCTTGAACAAACCTCAAAAACTTTTAATTCCCTGGTAACTAGTTCGATAAGTAGGAGGTTGTGGTCTTTCTTACAATCCAACCTAAACCCCTTGCCGAAGTATATTTTTTGGCTTTTGAATTAAATTAAATGTAACTTCTATTGAATGATTAGTTTTTATTAGTTTTTCTGAAAATTCTTTAGTTTTTTAATCATATTTGGATGTTTACTGAATGCTTTAGTAATATTTTGTTATTGTTTCAAGTGGATGTTTATGCAATCAAATCAGCTGTTGATCAATTTAAGAGAGAGATCCTTGTTGATTTTTGGTGTTTATTTTCACCAAACTAGTGTTCAGTATTTTTTAAAAAACAAGTTTTGAAAACAAACCAAAACTTCCAAATGTGCTCCTTAATGTTGTGTTTCGAATGGTCAAGTTGTATTTAACCTCGCATTGTACATTTGCAGGAACAACTAAGATTAAAAACCTTGATGAGAATATTGGTGCCTTGAGAGTGAAGCTCACAGAAGATGCTTTAAGAGATATTTGATGCAGTGCCCATCCTCGAGATTGCGGGGCCTAGAATATATAAAAGTTTTACTTGTGTCTCGTATATTTTTGCGGACACACCACTGCCAAAAAATTCCAAGTGAGTGGCTTTATATTTTTTTTGTGATGGAATTAATGTTAATAGTGTTTTTGTCAATTTTGTATTTCCGCTGGTAGCTTGTTGTGGCTTTGGTGTGTTGTCTTAACAACATTGTGGCCACTGCAGCTGAAACCTGCGCATGTTTGGATGTGTTCCGATGGTGTCAAGTTTGGGATATTCGAGTTCTTTCACAGATTGCTTATGGTTGGTCGAACTGCTTCGTGGTACATCATTATGCGATTGGGCCTCACAACCGCTAATTTTGGAGATTTGATCTTTACTTAATGGTTTTGATTATGTAAATATATGTAAGGTAAGTCGGCAGGTAGCATAGCAGGCTCATGTTTTTGCTAAAACTGTCCTTCGTGGCAGTTAACAAGTAATATTTGGTTATGTCTATTATGAAAGTTGGTTTGGCTTAAGATTGTGATGTTAGTGTATCTTTTGGCTAAGCATTTTCATAATATAAGCTGAATGAGATATGAATACCAAGTTTAATGCCCAAAATGTAGCCCCATAATTAAGAAAAATAGGGAAAACTCTTTCAAATTTTTTTTGTCGCATGATATGATACTAGTAGGTTAATATAGTTAGATTACTATAGTATGTTTTACGCCATTGTATTGACTTGAATTGTAGATCTCACTTCACTGGCAATTAAGTACTCTGATCATCAGTTATAGTTCAATTTCATCAAAACTTTGGCGGTAGTGGAAGAGAGGGCTTTTGTTTGTGTCAGTGGTGATGACCGTGGCGATGTTATTGGTAGTGGTGGTGGTGGATTTTGGGCCAATATTTCCTTAGTCTACAAAAATGTCAAGTTTTAACCGTTCAACTAGTGACTCTCCTTGTAGCATTTCTTATTAACCACCCAACTCTCTGCAAGATGCTCTGTTTGGCTTTGTGCTCCTTGACCTCGTGGAAGAGTTTAACTCAACCATCAAGTGACTCTCCTTATAGCCTTTTTTATTAACCACGCATAAGGGGTGTTTGGGAAGTTGGGTTGGGAGAATTTTTTTGGTTAAAGTAGTTAATAAAGATAAAATAAGTTAAAATAGTTAATAAAATAAAATGTTACATCTAAATTATAATTATTTAATTTTTTTTCTTACAATCATCAAATCAATTTAAAAAAAAAAGCCAACTATCATTTTAAATATGACTTTTTTAATTAGATTAAAATAATCAAATAATTTAAAAGTCAATTAAAATAGCAAATATATATTTTGACAATAGAATAGATGTTCATAACAATATATATCATTACAGTTAAAAAAGTAATAGCCAATAGTAGCAGTAATATAACCACACATCAGTCTTTTATACATAAATAATAAAAAGAGAAGTCATTGGAAATCCAAATACAACAAACATGGCAAGTACCCCAACATGACAACAAAATAGAAGGAAAAAAAATTAAATAAATAAAAAAAACTCCAAGTCTCCAACAGCACACAGGCACACAAGCATCACCAACCACTTCCTTTGTTTCCTCCAACTTTCATTCCTGTTAAATAAATAAAATGAAAACAAATTTCTCAAAGTTGTAAGAAATGTGTAAAAAAATAAAAAATGGAAAACAAATTTCTCAAAGATGTATGTAAAAAATTATATCAATTATCATATGAGTGAGTCAATTACTATATACCGATTATCTCACTTGAGGTAGGACATGTGTTGACGTGAAACTTTGAGATGGAGATGCTATCTAAAATATAGCACTACCGCTTTATTTTTTACACATCGTCAATATTAATTTGAATCGTAACTAATGCATATTATAACAGGATTATCCCATTTTCTAAGCACAAATTTTGAGATAACTAAATAATAAATCTTTTCATTTGTCTAACTCACTAAATTAAGCAAGGAACTAAATGCTTGGATTCATCATTTGGCAGATAAGAAAACAAGCTCTATGAAATCAAGTCCATATATGAATTAATTTAATAAAAATAAAAAAATAAAAAACTCCTAAAACTCTTGTTTTGTTTCTCACCAATTTTGGTGAAAAGAAATAGTTGTATAAAAAAAAAAAATCAAAATACTTAAACTGTTTATCTAGATACAAAACATTAATAATAAAAAGTCATGTGTTTTCTCTTTCTAAACCCACTTTCTAGATCAATAATGTGTTAATAAGATAATTGGTTGATAATTAAAGAATAAATGAGAGAGTTAGAAAGTGAATCTAATTTTTGGCCCTCAATAGTAATATTTAAATATCATTTGACGGTACTTAAGGCTTGGTTTAGTTTAATTTGGTTTAATAGTAATATTTAAATAAAAACCACATGTATTCTCTTTTATTTTGGTTTATCCAAACAGAATGATGAGAAATCATAGTTATTTATTTATTTATTTATTTATTTATTCTTTTCTTTTCTCACCTAAGTACTAGAAGAGAAATCAAAATCACCTTGTTTGGTTCCAATTTTTTGAATTTTTTATTTTTCGTATTTTTTTTATTTTTAATGAATTTGTTTAATATTTTAAGCAATTTTTTTTACTTTTTAGATATACTTAATATAAATACAAATATAAAAGTATAATATTTGTCAAAAAAAATTTAAAAAATTCCCTAAATACCAAAAATATAAATAAAAAAAAGAAAAAGAAAATTCAATGCATGTTTTTAATATTTTAAGCAAATTTTTTTTTTCAAACTTTTTAGATGTACCTAAAAAGTAAATATTTGCAAAAAAAATATTGAAAAAATAATAAGAATACAAAAAAAGTTTTTAAAAAGAAACGCTTATAGTATTAAAAAAATTCCCTAAAAAAGAAAAATTAATTTTTTAAAAGTTAAATTCAGAAAATTAGAATCAAACCAGAACGTATAGAAAGTGATCTATAAGAAAGGAAACCTTTTATTTACAATATATTTTCTGGCAACAACTATTACTCACCTGTAACTTGTTTTCTTTGTTAGTAGGGCCAGTCATCAGCCTCCGCGACATCCCAATTTTTGGGGACAGGGATGGACCTTAATCTCTCTGGGATGCTAACCTTGTCACTGTGGTACAGACCCAAACCCCGAAGCAGAGGCATTCCTCCTTCATCCACTTGTAACTCCTTCACATGACACGTGTTAAGAAATAGAATTTCGAGTTGAGGGAACCCTCCTGCAGTGCAAACAAATTTATTTGGTCTATCGTGGAAACACAAGTCAAGAATTGTCAGCTTTGGAAGTTTCTCTAATGACGGCATAGGATCTTCCTCCATTTCCGATCCGTCCAAGGAGAGGTATTTGAGATTCGGTAAGAATTTGTGCATCTCTGTTGGTAGATTTCCTATTTTTCCATGTAACTTCAATTGAAGGAGGTGCTGGCATTGAGAAAGTGGTTGCAGTGTAGGATTCCAAACAGTGTCCGTACTCGCATCTAGATATAATGTTCGGAGGTTTCTTAATCTACCAATAGAGTCTAGAGTGAACCCCTTGCTTTCTCCATTAAATACTACGCAAAGCTCACGAAGATTGATTAAATCCCATGATGGACTAAATTCCATCCGGTCATCAACCGCAATGTAGTTTAGAGTTTGAAGGTTTGTTAGGTTTTCCACTCGGAAAGGCCACTTGAAGCATCCAATTAAATGTCTCAACTGCTTTGCATTGCATATCTCATCTGGTAACATAATTGGGCTACACGGTTTGGAAAATTCCAGGGTTTGTAGGGCTTGCAAGTTACCTATGGATGGTGGAATCTTGTTTATGTTGGATTCACTTATCCTCAAGTACCTCAAGTGAATCAACTT